ATTCCTCAGCACCACATAAGCAAAAAAGAAAAAAGCCAGAAGTGGCGCTGTGGCTCAAGTGGTAGAGCGCTAGCCTTGAGCTGAAGAGCTAAGGGACAGCGCTCAGATCCAGAGTTCAGGCCCCAGGACCGGACCTAAAAAAAAAAAAGAATACTGGGCAACTGTATGGCTCTTACCTTCAAACTGATCTGCAAGATTACTGGAAACTGGATTCTGAAATTTGACATACTTATCTGTCCACCATGTGAGTCCATACTTTAGCATTGGGACTTGGATGTGTTCAGATGAGTGAAGGTTATAGGAAAGAATTATGGTATCTGAAAGGAAATTTCAAATTATGTTAGATGTGAAAGCTACCAAGTTTGCCATTCTTCAAAGACCAGACACAGCTGAAAATAAACCAGCTTTTCAGACACTCAGCATGCCTCGATATCATAGCTGCTGACTCACAAGACTAGTCTTTTTCTTGCTAAGGTTGAGCTCTGGCCCGGGTTGTGGCGGGCAGCGAGGCCTCGGAAGAGGCGAATCCGGCGCGAATCCGGCGCGAATCCGAACCATCAGAGCCGCCACCAAGACGGTGCAAGATGCTGCAGCACATTGACTACAGGATGAGCTGCATTCTGCAAGATGGCCGGATAGTCATCGGGACCTTCAAGGCTTTCGACAAGCATATTTGAATTTGATCGTCTGTGCTTGTGATGAGTTCAAGCCAAAGAATTCCAAGCAAGCAGAAAGGGAACAGAAGCCAGTCCTTGGTCTGCTGCTGCTTCGTGGGGAAAGCCTAGTTTCAGTGACAGTAGAAAAACCACCTCCAGAAGACACTGGCATTGCCCGAGTGACATTTGCTGGAGCTGATGGGGGCTGGGGGGGTGGGGAAGGCGTGGTGGAAGGGGGAAAGACGGGGAGAGGGGGCAGGAATTGGCAGGGCTGGGCTGCTGGCAGAGGAATTCCAGCTGGTGTTCCCATGCCCTAGGCTCCTGCAGGACTTGATGGACCAGTCCGTGGGGTTGGTGGGCCATCCCAACTGGTTATGACCCACTCCCACCCCCCACAAAGAAGAGGTACTGTTGCTGCTGCTGCAGCCGCTGCCACAGCCAGTATCGCAGAAGCTCCAACCAAAGTGCCCACCTGGACGTGTGGGTCCTCCCCCATCTATGGGTAGAGGGGTGGCATGATGGGTCCCCCAATGGGGATTCTGCCTGGCCCAGGAACTCCAATGGGCATACCCCCTCCAGGGATGTGGCCCTCCCCCCCCTCCCCGGGGAATGCTCCCCCCCCTCACAATGCTCTAGACCATCTTGGCCATCCTCGGCTCCCTGCCTGCTTTCTGAAAGGCTGTGCATAGTCCTTTCATTTCTGTGGCCTCTGAAGTTGGTTTATACCAAACTCTTAAGAGAATGTTGTAAATGAAACAAAACAAAACAGAAAACAAATCTCTGGGCAGGCATTGGTGGCTGAAATCTCTAATCCTAGCTACCCAGGAAGGTGAGATAGATCTGAGAATCATTGTTCAAAACCAGACAGGGCATTAAAGTCTGTGAGGCTCTAATCTCCAATGAATCACCAAAATGCTGGAAGAGGAACGCTGACTTAAGTAGTAGGATGCCAACCTTTAGCAAGAAAACACCTAAGGGGTAGCACTCAGGCCCTGAAGCCTCACTACTGGTGTGCATGTGTGCACAGCCATAGACACAGACACAAATAATCTTAAGTTCCATTTAAATCATACATATATACTCACACACACTTATACATGTGCATACATATAGCACTGTACAATAAATAAGCAAACAAACAAAAACTGTCACTAAGATGAAGAAGCAATCTGGGGGACATATAGGTGTTTACATACTTGTGAAGAAGGACAGCACAGAGAGAAGACAAAGTTACCCACCATTAAACATGCTGTTGGCAATAGCACCACAAGGAATGAAGGGAATCTTATCTTCAGACATTTTGAATGGATCACATCCATGAACATCCTGTATGCAAGATGATACAACAATAAGAAATGTTTTTGGCAAACTCTTAGAAGATGTGTAAATGTGTTTTACCTACCTAAAAATACATAACACACAGGAAGAAATTTAACTTGTTATCCTGTATATCACATGGAATCTTTAAAAAACATTTTTGTTGAACTATAATTTACATTCAGATTATGCACAGACCATGATTCTACAGCTAGATAACTAGCTAGATGGACATCACCAAGAATCCATCTTTTACAACAGCGGTTGCTAAAAATTCATCTGGCTATAACTTTCATAGAATGTCAGTATGGACAAAGTTTCCTTTTAGCGTTGCTTACTAGCAGTTAAAGATCATTTATCAAGATTAAAAATTGGTAATCCTAGGTCTCCTATTGTAGTCAATACAATCAAAGATTTGAAAAGGAAAGGTTCTTAGTTCAATCAATAGAATATCAATTAGGAAGGATCAAAAGCTCCAGATTCCTTGTAAAGGACAGTGGGTAGGAATCAAGTGAGCAAAATTGAGACAAATCCCTCAAAATGGTACATGAAAAGATAACCATTTAGTTGGATATGGTTCATGACACTTCTCTGAGGAGGAACAGAGCTTTCTCTAACAGTGATCCTGAATATCTAGGCCCGTCTGAAGTATTTCTCTTTTGTGACACCTTCTTTTTTGAACTTATTTTTCATCTTTCTTTCGGAAAGAACTCTCTGGATTTAAAAGAGGCAAAGTATTACACCGAAGTAAAAAAAAGCCTTACCATAATATTCTTACTCATCAGTTGTGTATTGCTTCTGGAAAGAACATATCGATAGAGATTCTGGTAGAAGCCATATAATTTGTAGTACATATAAACATTACCCTGTTTGGGGGAAAATAAGATGCAAAAAGGGAGTAAGAGATATTAAGTAGAATATTAATAAATTAAAAAAAAGTAGTACATAACTGTTAAGATTCTTCCTGGAAACAGAAATGCAACAAATCACTTTAAAAAGTCTCTGTTGGGCTGGGTGCCAGTGGTTTCATGCGTGTAATCCTAGTTATGGAGGCAGCTGAGATCTCAGGATTCAGATTTGAAGCCAGCCTAGGCAGGAAAGTCTGCAGGACTCTTATTGCCAACTAACCAGCAAAAAGCTGGAAGCAGAAGCATGGCTCAAGTGATGGAGTGCCAACCTTGAAGGAAAAAGCTAAAGACAGAGTACAGAGCCCAGACCCTGAATTCAAGCCTCAGTACCAGCACACAGAAAAAAGTCACTGCTAGGAATTCCTGGCCTATGCAGAATTACTGCGATGAAAATAAGTAACTTATTTTTAAGCTATTCTTTTTTTTAAGGCTTTCTTAATGGCCATGTGATCTCAAAGCAAACCCAAGTAATATAACACACTTAACATTAGAGTTACTGGTATAGTTAGGTAGAGGTACATGAAACTAAAAGAGCCTATGGTCAGAATCTAACTGTTTGTGCCATTTCAAGTTTCTTTGATCTATTAAGAGTCTTTGGATTATAATACTTGATCAAGAAATGATGAGTATGCAGTCAAAATTCAATGTATATACTATAAATTAAGTACTATAAATTAAGAAAAGTGAGGGAAGGGGTGGATTGGGAGGATGGGTGAGAATGTTGAAAGGGTGACATTGATCAAGACGCATGGTACTCATAAACTCTTCGATGAGTGGCAATTCCTGTGAACAACTACGAAAAGATAATAAAAATATTATAAAGAGAGAAATAATGAGTATGGAACAATGAACTGATCCACAAGAAAGAAGTGATTTCTACCCTAGCAGTAAGAAGCCTTGTTGCCTTGAGAGGAAGATTGTTTTTGCATGTGCTACAATGCAAGGCAGTCCAGTCATAGGTTAACATTGTGGGTTTATTTTTATGGTGATACACCAAGTCCCATGAAATTCTCAATGCAGAGTTGAGGCTGATATTACAAACAACACATATGCAAACATGTACATGGATTTAAGTAACATAATCATAGATTTTGCTAACAGCACATAAGTGGCCAATATTGCTGTACACAAAAGCATTTCTTTTACAACTCCCAATGCCAAACTAGCATGTTTGGAAAGGCTTTGGCCTTACTTCCTAAGAACCTTAAAGACTATGGAAAACTGGGCCTCATACCTACTGAAACCCTAAAGAAAAGTCATTGTAAATGTAGCTAGTTCTGGAACAAAAGCTGAAGAAGTCAGCCAGCTTTTTTTGTGTGCCGGTCCTGCAGCTTGAACTCAGGGCTTGGGTACTGTTTCTAAGCCTTTTTTTGCTCAAGGCTAGAGCTCTATCTCTCTCTCTCTCTCTCTTTTTTTTTTTTTGCATCTGGTTGTGGGGCCTGAACTCTGGGCCTGGGTGCTATCCCTCAGCTTTTCAGCTCAAGGCTAGTGCTCTACCACTTGAGCCACAGCGCCACTTCCGGCTTTTTTTCTTTTTGCTTATATGGTGCTGAGGAATCGAACCCAGG